TTGTGAGCCTGTGACTTTAGGTTTCGTCGAGAGTCCTAAATTCCCATGGTCAAGTCTCCGACAACTGTTCCCTAACTTAGCTGGTGGTGTTCCGGTATTATATTATATAAAACCTCTCAGTGTTTTGCAATCAAATTTCTTCTTAATGTTCTTAGGTTTTGATTATTGGATTGAAATGTTGTGATATAGGCATGGTTGGATCCAGTTAATTTACCATCAGGGAAGTCAATTCTGTGTGACTTGTGTGAAGAACCTTTGCAATTTGTACTTCAGGTGAGTTTCATAAAAACTAATTTGTTGTTCTTTACATGATTTTTGTGTTGGTTTATTTACGGGATTGAGCGAAATTTGGCAGCTTTATGCTCCGTTAACGGACAAGGAATCAGCTTTTCATCGGACATTGTTTCTCTTCATGTGTCCATCTATGTCTTGTCTTCTTCGTGATCAACACGAACAATGGAAACGTGCTCCCGAGAAGGCTATGCGGAGGTAGAAAAGAATCTCTTAATACATATTGCATCTTTGTGTTTGTTTGTCCTCTCTTCAAGTGTGTTGTTACGATAAATCACTTTTTTTGTTTTGTTTCTGAAGTATAAAGGTTTTCCGTTGCCAATTGCCTCGTGTTAATCCATTTTACTCGAGTGAGGCTCCGAAACATGATGGAACAGACAAGCCCTTGGGACATGGAGGTATTTTATGAACTGATTATGGGTTTTACTCGATTCTGAGAATTCTCTTTCGTCTTCGATTCTTGATTTTGTATTGTTTATATTTAGCTTCTCTTTGCACTTGGTGTGGAACGTGGAAAGGAGATAAATTATGTAGTGGCTGCAAAAATGCTCGATATTGTTCACCGAAACACCAGGTGTGTGTATGTGTGTCCATAGTTTTTATTGCTTGTTCTGCTAGATTCCATGTTTTTTAACTGATAAAAAATTGGCTTGTTCCTAATTTCCAGGTCCTGCATTGGCGCTCGGGTCATAAAACCGAATGTCAACAGCTCCGTATAATTGTTGAAACATCTGACTCAGGCCTTGTCGATAATGGGGTTTCTCTTACTCAAAAGCAGAAAGGTTAGAAAAATAAACAAACCTTTCTTAAATTTGGAACTTTATGTACTAGTGATATGAATTTCTTTTCGGTTTTTGCAGTTGCGAGTAAGAGTCTATGGAAAGAATTTGTATTGGTCAATGTGGATGAAAGTGAGTATGATACTGAGATGTCAGAAGACGATGAAGTTGCTAAACCTTTGGTATCAAAGAGAGCAATTGACGACCAAATGAAATCGCTAATGAAAGATTATGAGGTAAAGTCACTTATCGCCGCCATTTTTGCAAACTATAAATTTTCTAGAATGATTATCAAATCTGTGCTTGTACAGGGAGATGCTGATAAGAAGCGTTGGGTTAATTTCCAACAACGCGTAGACAAAGCTCCTGAACAAGTTCTAAGGTGCGATTCAAACACAAAGAAATTTTGATTTTTGCATACATTTTTTTCTTAATTCTCTCATTACATCAATTTGTGAAAGACATTTTCATTTTGATGCAGATATTGCCGGAGCGCTGGTGCGAAACCCCTTTGGCCAATAGCAACCGGACGTGTCTCTAAATCTGAGATTCCCAATTGCAAATCTTGTGGTGGTCCTCTTTGTTTTGAATTTCAGGTAACTTTCTCTTCTTTACCAATTTGGTTCTTCTTTTCTTTCAGAAAACTTGCATTGGTCTGGTCTTAATCTCTTTGTTTGCTTATTCTTATGAACCGATTCTAGCTAGACAAACCGACATTTTAGCTGTGTCAAATCAGTTTAGACCAACAATTTTGAATTTTCTCATATCGTTTCTCTGTTATTGATTAGTATATGGCCATTTTCAAGTAATTATTTCTTCTTTACCAAATTTGATCTTCTATCATTTCACAAAACTTGTATTGGTCTGGTCTTAGTCACTTCTTTTGCTTAGCTTTGTAACCAGCCAAGAGAAAGACATCATTTTACCTGCATCTCTGTTCTTGCATATTGGAAGCTTGTCTCGCTGTTTCTTGATCATTTAAATGGCGGTTTTTTTTAGGTAATGCCGCAGCTACTTTTCTTCTTCGGCAGTAAGAACGAAAGAGAGTCTCTTGATTGGGCAACAATCGTGGTGTACACATGTGAGACCTCTTGTGAGTCAAGCTCAAGCTACAAGGAGGAGTTTGTCTGGGTTCAACTATACAGTCAAACAACTTAGGCATCTTCTCTTCTGTTTCTATTGCCTCAAAAATTTTGTTCTTTAAGTGATCAAACCTATTTGTTACATTTTGTTTGTTATCTAAACTACCCATACTCTCACAATTTATCTATCTTGTGATTTAACAGTATTATAAGGATTCATCATGCGAAATGGCAATAATATTACTCGGGAGATTTGTTAATTCCACAATTTTCTACATTTCCCTATTGAATATCATGGATGCTGCCATATAAATCGTCATTATCTTAGTGCAAAATATATTTATCTTCTCTTAGTGCCTATTGCTATGGTTGAGAAAGAAACACAGACAGAATTAGGTATTCTCAAAGACAGAGAACTACTAACAAAGATTCTCATATTTGTCGCAAAGAAAGTGTTTTCACAAAAACATTCAAATCACTACTAAAGAATAATTCACTTCAGAGCAAAGTTTCTTCTCACTTATTAGACTTTTTAGACTTCTTCACTGGTACCCTGCTAGAAAACAAAGCAACACAATGAAAGTTTAGAATGTTGTTACCACAATGGTAAAACAGAATGTATTCCCATTTGATAAAGATCAAAACTTACTCTGCGGTTTGCGCAGGTGGTGGTGCAGTGGCCGGTAAGTCTCCTCCTCCAGGACCCTGAAATGAATTCACAAAAACATATTACACGAAACGATCAAGAACTCGTATGAATCCCAAGAAAGCAAGAAATGAATCAAACCTTGGCAAGACGCTCTTCTCTCCGAGCATGTTTCCTTTCTCGGCTAGCCTTGTTCTTAACTCTCTTAGCCTCAAACTGGTCAGCCAAAGTCTTCTCTCGAGCCTTCTCAGCCTTTGATTTGTGAATACTTTCCATCAACACACGCTTGTTCTTGAAGACGTTTCCCTTGACTTTCATGTACATGTCATGGTACATGTGTCTGTCAATCTTCTTCGTCTCTCGATACTTCTTCAAAAGACGCCTCAAAACTCTCATCCTCCTCATCCACAATACCTTTGTTGGCAACCTTGCCTCTCGGGTACCCTTTCGCTTACCTTAAACCATTATACAACGTCACATAGATTGCTCTTTCGAAATTGTTACGAGGATGGGTCAAAATGTTATGTACCGTAACCAGAGTGACGTCCCTTCATCTTAGCAATCTTTAGAACACGAGCTCTGGAACGAGAGTGGATCTTGGTTGGTTTCCTGATGATGAAACCATCCTTCACAAGCTTCCTGATGTTTTGGCCTAATGTTACATAACAATCAAAATCAGAACTACTATCAATCGTCAAATGCATATATAGCTTCGTTATCAACTAGTATATGATCATGATCAACAATGTTGATTCCGTAACAATCAAAAACCATATCCCATGAATCTAAGAAACCCAAAACTTCTAAATCAGTGAATACTAATAACATCTTTACAAGATTTAACTAAGCCAGTATTAAATTTGGGTT